AATCCAGAGATTCTGAGCATAACTTCTCCGGCTTCCAAACTCCAAAACTTGGTTGCCGAGTCTTCCAGCAGCGGCCATTCTAGGAGTGTGTTCTATGGTTGTGGGCTGGCTGCTGGAAGACTCTCTGTCCGGAAGACTCTCTGTCCAGCAGCCAGTCCACAACCATAGAGTGCACTGCTAGAGTGGCCGCTGCTGGAAGATTCGGCAGCCAAGTTTTGGAGTTTGGAAGCTGGAGAAGAAGTTATGCTCGGAGTGCGGTGGGGGTGGAACAGGCGTTCGTGGAACCCCCCTCTCCAGCCTGACAGAGCTCCATGCACTGACCTAGAGGGCATCCCGAATGTGCCAAGTCGTGGGAGCTGGGGAGTGGGCAGAGCGCCATGTGCCTTGACGCCTTAGGGATACCCCCTAGTTCAGTGAATGGTGCTCTGCCCGGCTGGAGAGGGGGTTTACCAGGCGGTTGCTCATGAGCGTGGTCACCTCATGGCTGCTTTGCCCCTGAGGCTGTGCCCAGCTCTTTGGAAGCCAGTTTGCAAGGGAGCAGCTGCTCGGCAACCCCAAAACAATAATTTGTCCTCCTATAATAAGCCTAAGGACATATTTTGTGGGGCAAAAGAAAATAAGACCCTGTCTTATTTTCAGGGAAACACGGTAAATCATAATCCAGGGATTATGTTTTTTATTTGCTGTGACTGAGGGATGTGCTTTTCACATTCCTCTTTTTTTTAACCCATTTCCTTTCCCTGTCTATATTGTAGTCTTCATATTGCAGTAGGTTGGGAAAAAAGGGAAGAAGACTGGCTTACCAAATTAATAAAATCTTAAGTTTCCCTTAATTGAGTGACAGATTTAAAAATTGTAATCATAAATATAGAGGCAGTCTGGAGAAGCCTAATGATACCATATTTGTAGAAGAATATTGTCCTGAACCAGTGTGTCTTAAACATTTTGCTCTTAGGAACCCTTCCAATTTTAAAATATTAGAGAGCCCCCAAAAAGCATTCATTTGTATGGGTTATATTTATCTATATTTACCATAATACAAATAAAAATGGATACAATCATATAATCTTTATTTGTTGAATCATGTAAAAATAACAATACTTATAAATTCATTTGTACCATAAATATTTTTCATAAAAACCTGTTGTAAAGAAATATAATGAGAAGTGTCCTTGTTTAACAATTTTGCAAATATCTTGAATATCTGGCAAATAATTTTGATTTCAAGGGTCTTGAGGTACTGAAAGGGTCTTGAGGTATTCCCAGGTCTGCAGTTTAAGAAATACAGCTCTAAACTAAGTTACCCCCCCCCCCCAATCATTAAATAAAGACATCTTCATGTTCCAAAAGATTTGGCCTATCAATGCAAAGGGCTTGTTTTGCAGCTAGCTGCCTCTCTGAGTTATTTCCATTTTTCCTACTGCTGAAGATTCATGTGATGAAAATAAATGCTGCCTACACCTCTTAGGATTCTTGGCTCCTGTCATCTACAGCTGGCCAAACACACAGATTGCAGTTTCCAGATAAGGAGATCTAATTTGCAAACCCAGCATTAGTAATTTAAGTTTGGAGGCAGAAGTTTGTTTCTCTTTTCACTCAATAAATTTGGTAAAGAAAAAAAGCAACAATCTTTTAATGATAGAACAGCTGGAATGTATGAGTCCCTGTATTCCTCTATGAGAGAGTGTACATTTGTGTGTGTATGTATGAACGTTATTTTGCATTTAAGATAATATATATTTTCAAATTCTGTAAATGAGCTCTAGAGAGAGAGACTAATGCAACCTGTATGGGATTATTGAGAAACAAATGTCACTGCTGTTAGTGGCATTTCTTATTTTGTTGCATTTATATCCTGCTTTTGGTTTGGGGAGTTTGCATTTTTTTTTTCTCCAGGTACAGTTGATCCTCAACTTGCAATGTCAACTTACAACCAGAATTTCAGTCATTCAGTCATTAAGAGAAACATCCACATACTGTTTCACCAAATGATAACACTCCTTGGTCTCTTAATTCATCATTAAGTGGATGGAATGAAAGAGCTGCCTGTGGAATTGGATAGGCACCTCTCTTTCACGTACAGAAGGAAACTCCAGCGAAGAAAAGAAGTTTGGATCTTTATGATCTGAGCGTCTTTTCTCCAGCCCATTGCATTAGCTGTCCTCCCCAACATGCGCAGAAAGGAACTCCAGCAGAGGGCTGAAGAAAGGAAGCTCGGAGCATGATGATGTATACTTCTTTTCTCTAGATTGCTCTAAGAGCCTCCCATCACCACCACCCCCATGCACAAAGGGAGGGAAAAAATCTTTCAGAAGGCAGCAGCAACAGCTTACAACCATCCCTGCTGCCTTCTGAGGAAACTGATAGAAAAGATTGTAAATGGCTATCCCATGATCATGTGGCAACTGCTTGTAAGTGTGAACAGGTTGCAAAGACCTGAAATGGGATCGCATGACTGTGGAAAAGGGCAACGGTAATAACTTCCTTGACGGGTCATAGGTAGCTTTTCAAAAGTCTGTCATAACTTTGAATAGTCATTAAACAACCAGTCATAAGTTGACTAATCCTCATCTAGCCACCACAATTGGGACTGGCAAATCGGTTGTTAAGTGAAGCAGTAGCTAAGTGAAACAGCAACTTAGAATCTTATTTCAGCTTTCTGTGCTTTACAGACCTGTGCTTTATAGCAATTGATTTGCTATAAATGTGAGGATTGGTACCAAAGCTCCTTTTTCATCTCTGTTTTAATTGGGAATGGTTGAGATAATTGCTAAGAAAAAAAGTGGGCTTCCTAAAAGTACTAGTCCGACCCACTTTTTCACTAATATGGTGATCTTAAGATAGTACAGGTCTACTATTCACCATTGTGATGTCTCCTGTGGATGATGGTTCATCCATGTCTTCTTCAGAGGCCTCAGGGGAGAATGAGAGCATTCCTGGCATGTCCGGTATTGCTGACCCTCAACTGTCAGCTGAACATAACTTGGCTGGGGAGACTCACAGGCCAATAAGGAAGAGGGGGAGGCGCTGCCAGCCTTGGTAGATGGCTAGAGCACGCAGGGCAGAGAAGCGGAGATCTGCCAGGTTGATGGGGGGAAAGCCCCACCCTCTTAATGGCTGCACTGGGAGTGGCCATTTAGCATCGCAGGCAGAGGGAGGCGTTGCTGGAAGCAACATGTGTGGGTTGTGGCCAGATGGTTGTTTGTGTTTCTGGAACTCTGCAGCTCGTGGATTTAATTCAGTTGCGATGAGCGTTTATGTTCATGTTTGGAGCAGCCAGTTATCTGTCAGGTGGACTAATTGACCATTGCCTTGAAGGTTAGTCTGGAGTTTGTTCATGACTGGCTTCACTGAAACAACCCTCTGCATTCCTGGCTTGGACTATTCCTATGACTTCTCCTTGCAAGTCCTGAAACTTGGACCATCGGACTTGTTGACACACCTCAGTGGAGGCCTCTAACTTTGGAGGGAATTTTGAGCTGGGTTTTTTTGGAACCTATCCAGGCAAAACCTTTATTTTCAAGACTGCTTTGATTTGGCTGTAAGTTTGTTTTTAGTTATCTATTTGGTCACGAGACAATTCGTGTGCTAAGCTTACAGCTGGGGGTTAGATGAAAACCTGAAATGAAACTATTGAGAGAATAGACTGAATAAAGCTCTCTACACCACTCCTGACATGTGGGTGTGTGGGGGCAGCCCAACCATATAGATAGTCCTTATTTTGCAACTGCAGTTGGGACTGGCTACTCAATCGTTAAGTGAAGTAATCACTGAGTGAAAAATCACCCAATTATGACTTGGTTATTTTGCTTCAGCTTTCATTTGTTGTACACTGCCAAACAACTGGGTGAGCCCCCAAAAAATTTCTGGAATCGACTTTAAAAGGAAGAGCAAATTTTGTAACCCTTTTTTCCTCACTCCTCTGCCCTTTGGAATGGCTAGCCGGCACTGGGATTATCATCAAGAAGAGAACTGAGAGATGATATTCTGTCAGCTCGGATCAATTGGTCCGAACTGGTAGCAGAAATCTTGGATGGCACTGCCTACCTGTGTAGTAGAATTAAGAGACAATGAAGCCAAGCGATGCAATATAGGAAAAGTTTATTGAATGCGCAGGTTCAAACATGCCAAAATAAGCATCAAGAGTTTGAACCCCGAAGGGTCCTTAAAGCCATACATTTATAGGGCAAATTACGTCATCATCTATAGAGGCAGTGTTTAAGCATATATGGCACCCCA